GGAGCCGCGAGGGACACGAGTGGGCCGAGAGGCGTCGGTATAACGCTCCAGGACTTGAGCGCTGCGTATCTGGGAGAACGCGTGGAGCTCCGCGCGGGATGCGCCAGCGGCCTGCATGGCCTGGATAGTACCACGACGAAACCCATGAGGAGTTTGCCCGACGTAGACACCAGCCTCCTCCAGGTGTTTGCCCACTCGCATGGCTAACGCGCTGCTGGAAAATGGACGCTCCACGAAGCGTTGGTGACCCCGGTCAGTGGGACGGAAGAGGTAGTCGGAGATTGCAGACCCTGGGGGGGCGTCGGGGGCATGGCACAGCTGCCAATAGAGGGCGAGGGTGCGGATGAAGCAATGTCGCGGAGAAGGGTCGGGACGCAGTTCCAAGGGGGGGGCTCGACGCCCCTTGGATGTTTTGGTCCCGAGTTGTTCGATCCGTAAGGAAAGTGAGGGGTAGGCACCAAACGGGTCCGGCAGAGGTAGGGGAAACCCACGGAAGGGACCCCCACCACGCGGGTCACGGAAGTCACGTAGCCGCAGTTTGCCGGTGTCGTGGCCGCGGTAGCTGGTGTGCCACATGAATTGGCAGCACAACAGGTCGCGTAGTAGCAGCAGCCGGGTCAGGGAGGTGGTGGAAGCCTGGAATCCGGACCAGAGGTGGTCCATGAGGGTGGTGAAGTCGCTAGGGCTGAGTGGTACGGCGGCTTGCTCCTCATAGCCACGGTCGGCGGCGAGACGACTATAGCCAGTCTTGTAGGAGGACAAGGCGCTGGAGCAGCAGGGGTTGCCTATGCCGGTTTCACGGTCGTAAGTGCTGCCACGGCCCAAGCGGTTAAACAGCCCGGAGAGTAGACCCAGATGATTGTTGACGGTGTTGGGGCTCGGGTCGTCCACACGGCGGTTGGGGAGCCAGTGCGCCTCCAGGTAGACGAGTAGGTCGTCATCAGTGCAGGTTAGCAGGGTACGGCCATGGGGCAGGGAGGCCAGCCAGGCAGAGAGGTCACGGCCAGCAGCCTCCTGGCGGGCAATGGTTTCGCGGGCCAATGAGCTGTCGCAGACGGTGGCGGCCCTCGCGAGGGCGACGGTATAAAGCTGACGGCTGGAAGGTGGGTCCAGTACGGCAGAGGGTATGGAAGTGGAGCGGACGCGCGCGGCCAAGATTTGGGGCAGAGTAGGCTCCGGCAGTGCCTGGAGGGCAGAAGAAGGTAGGAGAGGTAAGCGCGACGGAAAGAAGAGACAGGACCCAGGCGCAGGAGCAAGCCTACCGGGGGGGCAGCATCAGAGAGGCCGGGGGCGTGAGACAAGTCCAGAGCGGGCATCGGGCCCACAGAAAGGGCGGAGGGGTTGGGCCCCCGAGGGGCAGGGACGGACGGAAGTAAGGTAGTTGACGAGCCAGAGAGGGGCGCCCCAAGTAGGGCCGGGGGAGGCAAGGAAAGCCTACCCGGCACAGGACAGGCAAGGGGCGAGTCCTGCAGTAAGGTAGGCAACCGTAAGAGAGGGCCGGAGAAACGGATGCGCAGAGGGAGGGGGCGCGCACCGGGTAGGCAGAAGACCCAGCCGGATGATGAGGAGTCGCATAGACGAGGCGTAACAACG